ATAAAACTAAAACCCAGAAAAGCCAACACATTAAGTGGTAGATCTGGAATTTTGACTTATTCTAACATGCTAAGACATGCATGTGGCATAATAAAGCTGTAAGCAGAAACATTGAATGAAGATGCTTGTTTGTATTTCTTATTTTTTTCTTTTTTGGCAGCTAATTCTTACTGTACTGTACTAAGAATTATATAGTCATTACCTTACTTTCTCATAACAACGCTACGAGCTAAGCAAGTTTTCTTCACCTTGGGACTATTGCAATTTTGGACAGATTGTTCTTTATTGTAAAAGCCTGTGTTGTGCACTGTAGGATGATCACAGCATCCCTTGCCTCTCCACACTAGATCCTAGCAGGACACATCTCCTTTCCTCCAGCTATGATCACCAAGAACGACTCCAGATATTGCCAAGTGTCCTCCAGGGGCAAAGCCATTGCTACTTGAAAACCATTGAATCAGAATAATTTTACTTTATAGTTAATGATAATAAGGAACAAAATGTTTAGAGTAATTTGCTCAAGGTCATACATCTAGAGAGTGGCAGAATCTGAATTTGTTTGACTCAGATCTGCGGACTTACATTTCTTCTTCCCTGCAGCATCCCTGATACTGAGTTGTTTCTAAGGAAACTCAAACCCTGGAGAGGCCTGAGGGTGTTTCCTAAGAGCTTGCCTTCTGGGAGCATAGATTGGCCATCTAGGACTTAATTTAGGACTAGTTTAGGACAAGTCTAGGACTTAGAAGTAGGCATGTATGAGGTGCTTCCAGTGGCATCAGGACAAATAGTTCTGCAACTTTGCCCCTACCACTACTAAGCAGTTCTCATTAAATACAAAATATCATGGTGGGTTTTTTTTTTTGTCCAGGATAGTTTCAATCTGTTGTAGACAATAGATGTGGGAAGCACAAAGCTGCAAACCAGTTCAGTCAGTAGTTGGGAGTTTCTGGAGTGATTTAAATAGCCCTGACAATGTAGGTCACTATTTTTAAGCCTGAGCTAAGTGTCTGAAAGTGCTTCACACAGACGTGACCTCAGGTAGAAGTCACAGAACACTGGAATTGCAAGGACTTTTATGGCCTTGCCTGAGAAATCTGGAAACTGAACCCCTGTACCCTGGATCACAGAGTAGGATTCCTGGCTTCTGGTAAAAATGTTCTGATCTTCCCTTCTGTCTTGAGAATGGCTGAATTCATCAACTTGTAACCGTATGGGAAAGTGTAACTTCTTGGTTCAGCCCCATCTTGTCCTATTCATGTCAGACTGGAAAAGATTAGACTGACTGAGCCTTTCACCTTCTTTTTATTCTGAAGATGGATTAAATCTATTTGTATTTATACCAGCCCCTCGTCATCATATATTGTTTCCTCTGGTAGGTAGATGTTTTTTAGTGATATACTAAGTCTTTATAAGTTTTACTTGATATTCTCCCAAATAGATGAGTTCTAGTCTCTCTGTTTTACAGAAGAATAACTTCTTCTGAGGAGGATGGGAATGTTAATTAACTTGTACATGGTCATGGAAAATAAAAGACAAAGTCAGGGTTGAATAGAGGCTGTTTCTAGTCGAGTGGTTTTCAAACTTGAATAGGTATCAGCATTGTCCAAATAGTATATGAAATATACTATAAAGTGTCGTTTATGGAAAAATTATAATTTAGCTGAATGTCTTCTATCTATTGTTGCTAAATCTGGCATCCTTAGGCTGGCAGATGATCTTAGTGGGGACAGCCTGTGAGCCATCCTCAGCACCACAGGGAAGCTGAGCAGAAGTGCTGGGATCCTTTAGGAGAGTCTTTGGGCTACACAGAGGTGGTCAAGAGGAATCTTGAGGTTGGTAAATCCATAAGCAATAAACCTAAGCCCTCATTCAAAGAAGGGAAATTTTATGATGGCCTCCACCCTTGAATAAGAAGTTTAAGAACTCAGAATGAAAACTTTCTGCATGGGATGGAAAAGAAGGGTGTGTCTCACACTGGAACATAGGCTTAGCATTACTGACAAACATGAGGAGGTCTGCAGAGAGTAGTGTGATAGTAACAGCACCTGATCCATTCTAAGGAAACCAGTATGACAATCTCCATATCAGAAGGAGCTCTGCTTTTCGGTGCATCAACCCTGCTGCTGCTCTCTGAGGGAGCCACCTCTGAACATTCTGGGTAGCAAAGGGTGTGTTTTTCAGCAGCAATTGATGGGATAGGACATTTGGGAGTGGTAAGGAGTTTGATAAACTCACAAAAATGAGAGCAAGGACAGAAAATCCCTGAAACATCTCCCCAGTAAACAGAAAGAAGCCCATTGACTCCCAAGATTGGATATTGTTAAGGTTGAACTCCCAGTCACCTCTCTGCACAGAAGCAGAAGCCCAGTGGCCTCCATTGTTACAGCTCACATCCTTGATTGCTCTCAAGACTGTTACAGAGAGTTACTTTAAAAGGGATTATCTTCTCCTACTTGGACTTTTATTTTGCCAAAGTCTACCTTTTAGATCTGGGCATTTTATGTACATACCTTAACTGGTACATACCAGTCATATAGCCAGGTCTGATCTTAACTCTTCAGTTATTTGTTTTATATTGGCTGATGCCCCTTGACACCTAATTCAATTGGTGTTTGTGGTTTTTCTAGTGTTAGCATTTTATTTTGGATTGTATTAGAACAAATCTTATTTGAAAGGATCTTGTTGGACTGTTGTTTGTTGCTTCCTGAACATACTGTACAAAACCAAATGTAGTGTATAATAAAGTTCAGGCTTCCTCTGGCTCATTATTAGAATGCTGTATTTTACATGTAAATTATATTAGGAGGCCTGTGTCTTTCCTTTAATGATTAAGATTACAGAGAGAAAAGAGAATGAAAGAAAAGAAAGAGTCTGTGTGTTTTGTAATACAAAACCCCCTCCAAGGAAGATTAATTTTCTGACACAGTACAATCCAGAATGAATTGTTACATTCTGTACACAGCCTCCTTTCACTTCCAAGAATGTTCTTTGCATCACGTGTAACTGTACTCCCGGCTTTGGAAAAGTTCTTAATGACAAAATAGACTATTCATACCTCTAAGTTCTTGTTTTCTTGTACCACCTAAGAAGCCATTCCAAGTATGTTCTCCGCTGGTGTCGAGAAAATTATGTGTGTTTTTTGGTTTGTTTGTTGCAGTTTTGTTTCTTGTTTCTCTTGTTTTTGGTAGGGGCTCAAGGTGACAAATTAATGTGCTCTCTCACTGCGAAGAACATTTAAAAAAATACCACCAGAGAAAACTACCATTGCTGACTTTGGCACAAGCAAGAGAAGCAAAAATGGTGGTCATGTCTTTTCTCTTCTCTTCTTTTCTTTCTTTCTTTATTTTGGTATAGGGGATTGATCTCATGACCTCGCACTTGCCAGGCAGGCACTTGTGCTACTTGTTGAGCTAATTTTTTTTAATAGTCAGTAGGGAAGAAATAATTCTACAGCAGCATTCTAAACCTACTAGATCTGCATTAAATATGTGAACACTTTTGATCATCACATTTTATGCAGGAGGTAGGGAAACTGAAAGGAAGTTAAAGCAAAGCAGCTGAGGTGGTAAAAGTTATACAAAATACTTCTTCTGCACAAAATATGAAATGGACTTGTCTGTCTAGAGAAGTACTGGGCTAGGGGCATGTAGATGTGTTGAGAGAACAAAGAGAGTGTGAGGGAGGAGCTGCTTGGCATCTTGCTGACTTTATAGTTTCCCTTATTTCTGGAAAGCTTGAGGCCCTTGGTTTGGATACTTGCCACTAAAAGGCAACAAGATACGTGAAAGCCACCACCTAAGACTGTATAAGTCACACTGTATGCAAGACCCAGCCAAGGAGGCAGGTGGCAACTGCAGTCCTTCCCCTGCCACGTTCACTGGCCATCCTGGGCACCAAGCCCAGGGCACGCATTCTTCCTTCATCTGACCAGAGCAGGTGCTTCTTTTTCACTGTGAAGGGCTCTTGGGTATCTGCTGAGACACTGGTCATGACTTCATGAAAAAGGACATCATTGCTTTGTCCCTGTCCACTTTGGTGGTATCAGTTTGGTACTTCGAACCCCTAGATGATCTTAGAGGTTATCTGGCCAGTGTTTTCTTCTGGAACAAAAGGACCAAATGATAAGGGATGCTGATCATCCTAAATGGCTCACTTACTTTCTTCCAAAAGTATGTTAAACTCTTGGACATTTTTGAGAGGAGAGGAATTTCTGAAGATCCTGAGTTAAGGAGGCCAGGTGAGGATTCAGTAATGCTCCAGGCACCATCCCTAGGCCTTTGGTGAGGAACCGTGACATACCATGCTGCTTGTCACAACTACCAATCCTAAGGAGTAACTTTCCTTTTCCTCTTGCTCTTGCAAAGACCAACTTGTTGAATTTACCCTTCATTTTGCAAAACAATTAAATTTAAGTTGTGAACTTAAAAATGGAAAAGAAATGCATTCATTTTTGTTACAATTTAAAGCCAAGCGTTTGTGTGAGATTTCATAACTGACTTATTTGCCTGAAGTGTGGCTAATATGAGTCTAAATTTTCTTTTTGGGTCATAAAAATCCAGGTAACTGGGGCTTGGGTTTTCTCCTCTGCTTAAGAACATCAAGCCAGTGTTTTATTTTCATACGTATTTATATGATACTATGCAATGTATTTATATGCTCAAACTGTTCTAATGTCTGGCCTCAGGAATATCTAGTGTGATGGAAACTGAAGAAATTTTGTGCAAAATTGATTTGTGTGTTCTAGGGAAAGTCACTTAATCTTACTGACCCATTCATTATTGCTTATCTGAAGATATATTTGTATGTACCTCATAGAAATTCTGTAGCAAGTAAGTGAGATAAAACAGGAAATGGCTAGCATGGCACCTGAAGTAAAAACATTGTACTTATTCATCTAATCAGTTGAGAATATAACTCACTATTCAGAGGAGCGAATAAGATGCCTTTCTGTAGCTTGTGTTCAGGAGTCTGGTACAATAATGCTTTTTCTTCTTTTCCAGCCACAGGATGAAGTCTTCAGGCTGGCCACCTCCCTCAGGAACCTGGGGTTTGAACCAGGTGCCACCGTATGGATGGGAGATGATGACAAACAGAGACGGGCGAGACTACTTCATCAAGTAGGTTAAAAAGATGGCAAGGAAAATAGATCCTGGGCTAATGAAATTTTCTGGTTTTGATTTAATTAGGAAAAATGAAACTACTTAAAGTGGGGACTCATAGGGGTTTAGAGGCCATTACTTAAACAGCTTGGTCTCCTACAGTTTCTGTAACTTGTAACGTTGTATCGCTTTGCTTGGGCAGAGGCCACCTGACTATGCCAATTCACCGCATGCTATAGAAATTCCAGCTCAGAGCAAAAGTGTCCATCATAAATATTAGGCCTGTTGTACTCATTGTATAAGACCAATAAGTAACATTTGACTTGGGATAGTATCATTTAGGGAAATTTCTAGAAATGGACAAGATAAGAATGCTACCATATCATCTGTACCTAGAAAAACAAGCTACAAGGTTTATGTCCATTTTGTGTTTTATTTTATATTTCTCATACTAACACTGGCTTAGGTTTTAGATATTTGTGGTACTCTTTTTTAATTGTGCTAAATGGATATATAGGTCATGAAACTATTTTAGCCATGTTACTTTATGCACTAGTGGTATTATATACATTTACAGTGCTGTGCAGTTTTTTTTTACTATTATCCATTCCCCCCAAATTTTATCATTCTCAATAGAAATTTTTTAACCCATTAAACAATAACTACCTATTCTTCCACCTTCCTAGCCCCCAGTAACGGCTACTGTACTTCGTGTCTCTCTGAATTTGCCTATCTCAGGTACTTCATAAAAATGGAATCATCTAATTTCTGTTATTTCTTATCTGGCTTATTTAGTTTGGCATAATAAAATATAGGCTTCTCTATATTATAGCACATAGCAGAACTGTACTGTTTTTAAGGATGAATCCTGTTCCACTACAGAAGTAGCCTATGTTTTGTTTATTTATTCATTCATCTATTGAAAGATATTGAGATTGTTTCCACCTCTGACTGTCTGAATAGTGGAATTATTGGTATACTGTTTGAGTATATATCCCCTCTGTTTGAGGGGATGGGAGTATAGCTCAATAACAGAGTAACTGATAAAAATGTTGAAGTCCCTGGGCTCAATCCTCAGCAATCCACATGCAGAGAGAGACAGAGAGACAGAGACAGAGACACAGAGAGAGACAGAGAGTAGAGAGTGAATGTTTGGGATATATACCTAGGAGTATAATTGCTGAGTCATTTGAAATTGTTGGGTCAAAGCTGTGTTGAACTGTTGAAGGAACCCTCAAACTGTTTTTTTTGGGGGGTGGATTTAGTGCTGTGGGTTTGACAGTTTTATGAGAAGAGCATTTATATTGCATTTCTCAAAATGGCAAGTGGTCAGCCTGCTGTTTTCTCTAATCGAAGTGAAATATTCTTAATTACAAGAAATTAGTGAACTACATTTGAAATCAGGATGCATAGTGGGCTTCAGCCCACTGTAACTGAGCAGAGATTGGAGACCATGGAAAAAGCATTCACAATGACAAACTGTGTTCTTTACTACAGCCAAGCTTACTGTGCACTGATTCACAAACCTAAGATCATTGGGAAGCAGGATATGGTGTTTATGAAAAATGTGACGATTGTTTTAGAGAATGAGGTCTTTTGCACTTGCTATCCCACCTTACCCATGGGAGCATTGTTAGGAGCAGCCAGGGGACTAAGATGTCTGAGAGTCATGGACAGTTTTCTGGTCTCTTTGGCCCAAACCTCTCACCTTCCCCAGCACAGCTGCAGAGGGGAGAATGTCCTGTTCCAGAGCACAGTTGTCAAGGGATTTGGCTGCAAGGCCCCCACCTGGGAAGATACAGGAAGCCCCTGCACATGACCCATTCTGGGGAGCCTATGGGAAAAGGTCTTCTGGCTCTTTGAGGGATTCCTAAGTCTGCACCCGCAGAAAAACTAGCCTGGAAATGACAGGTAGAATGGTCTCCTGAACCAAACTCAAGGACAGGTAAGCGCAGTGGTTTGAGTCACATTCTAGATTTTGAATTGTTCATTTCATACAGTTTGCCAGAGTCCCTTCTGCTGGCATTAAGACAATGTTTTATGACATGCAATCTTGCCATCTATCTTATAACATGGCTGTGAATCTATGCTTTGATAAAGTGACATAATGCTTGCACTCAAAACAATAAAAATGTTGTCAAAGAAATACAGATTTTAAGGCCTAGGTTGTGAGTTTATGAAGGCATGTCTGAGACTTAACTAATGAACTGCATTTTTCCTTGTCCATAATTAGACTTCCTTTATGTTCCAGGCTATTTTATCAAATACTTAGTAACCCAAACTAAAATTAACTGAGTAGGGGTTCTGGGAACAGCTCCTGTCTTTACTTTCATGATTAACATTAGCAGTATTGACAAATATAAGGGACAGACACAATATCAATATAACATTTATACTGGCCTAAATACTAACTGTTAAATCATAAGATCAAGTCAATATTTAAAAAAAACTTCACTGACTGCTAATAACATGTTTTAAGAATAAAATCGTCAATGCTGTTTTCCAATGGCAAATTGCATTTGCCGTGTAGTTTCTTTGTGCTTGAAAAGTTTCTGTTATCCTTGCAGAGAAAGTTTTAAGATGTTAAGAACAGTACATTTTGGAAGATGTTTGTTCTTTCTTTCTCATTAATGAACTTTATAAATAATGAGAATCACTTTTTTCCTTACGTACTGAGTAATGTCCATTACAAAGAGATACTCTAATTATCAGAGTTTCTAGGGAGCTTAAATTTGCAGTATAAAGAATTTCTGTACTCATTAGTTTCAGAAGTTAAAAGGACAATTTGAAACCTATTCCATTGTTAGTAATTAGCACCTTTGCATTTAGTTTTTGCTTTTTTACATATTCTTTTTGAAAGAGATTAGTTGTTTTCCTTTTCAAATCTTGTCATAGGATATAAATGATATCCACATCAGACAAATGTTTTAGATGGAGGTACAACTATCTTTGAGTGATGAACCAAGCTGTGGGAAGAACCAGGTTTCATGTGTTCAAAGTCAGAATCTAATACCTACATAATGATAGAATTCTATCATTATGAGCCTTCCGAACACAGTCCAGGATAGCTGAAAATGTATTCAAATTTCATCCCCACTTGAGTTCCCTATTATATAGCACAGAGCTGGGTAACCCACTTTCTATAGAGTTACTGATCCATCAAGGAAACTAATATATTCACAATAAATGTACACTTCTACAATAGTGTCCAGTTCACAAATCTTGACTATAAAGTAGAATAGCAATAAAAAGACCTGGTGCTTGCATCTAGAGTGGAGATTGGGAGTAATTTCAGAAACTGGCCAGCTAATTCTGACGTGCAGCTATACGTGCTGCTCTGAAGCACTTCTGCATGAGACCTTATCATTGTGGCTTCAGCACAAAAATTATCATCCTTGTTTTTCAGATTGAGGCTCAGCCTAGTCAAGTGGCATTGCCAGCATCATCTATGTGTGCTGAATCACAATCTGTTTCTTGTTCAGCTACATCTGATTCCTCATTGAGAAAGGCCATTACCACCAAGCATACTGGTGGATATCCATAATCCCAGCAGTTGGGAAAGCTGAGGCAGGTGGATCACAGTTTCTAGTGCAGCCTGGGGAAAATTTTATAGTTTAATGAGACCCTACATTAAAAATTAATCAAATAAAAAAAATAAAAGAAGATGACTAAGGACGTAGCTTAATGTGAAGGCCCTGGGTTCAATCCTCAGTATATAAAAAAGAAAAACACTGATGGTTTTGATATTTTTAGAGAAATACAAAGCAGTTTTTTAAGTAACAGATAATATTTTCTAAGAAACATGCACATGCAAAATTAAAGTTTCTCAGTACTGTTTTTACCAGTTAAGAGAGAGCAGAACAGAGGAAAGGAGCAAGATAGATGGAAAGAGAGAAATCATGAAGGAAGTCTCAGGAAAGAATGTCAGTATGAAATGGTTAATAGAGGAAGAAAGAAATAGAGAAGTGAAAGAACAAAGTGAAATACTCTGAGATGATTACTATACTAATAACATTGATGAATAATGAGTAATTGATGAATAATGAGACTGATGTAGATATTCAATTGTAGACACAAATATGGACATATAAAGTATGATACAAACTTATGGTAATGTTTAAATTTAAAATATTATTACAGTGAAACACATATTGCCATTAATCCCCCTCAGATTACTCCCCTTTAGTGCAAACACAAGTATTTCATAGTTCTTGTCATTTTATTTAACAATTCTGTAAGTTCTTTTACATGAGTGTCTTCAGTTGTGCTGTCCTGGATAATTCAGTGTGCTAAATTAATTCAGAATGCTTATTTCTCATGGTTGTTCTGCCTTTGAGGAAGAGCTGGGAGTTGCATGGTGCCAGATCCAGTGAATAAGGTGGAAGAGAACACACCGTGATATTTTTATGAGCCAGACTTTCCACTGGGTAACCATTGGAAGCAGCATTTACTGTGTTTTTGACCGCTCAAAAAAGAGGACTTCTAGAACTGCTTCAGAAAGTGGCAAGAACAATGGGATGAATGTGAGAGGGAGAGGGAGGGAGATGAAGCACTTGGCAATGTGTCTTTTACTGTAATAATTTTTTATTCAAACATTAATCATATATTTTCATCATTTATAGATATATGCAGCCATATAATAAATGGATATACAATATAGGTATTGATATAGAAATAGGTATAGATATGCAGTTATATTTATACATATAGAATATAGATATAGATGATATAGGTGTAGATGAGTGACCATGTAGCCAAGTTCACCAAGAAATGTCCTAGTTTGTGGATGCTGTAGAAATAATTACTGACAGGACTTTTCTTTCTCTGTGTTAAGGTTTGCATGAAACATGGCAATTCAATTTATATAACACATAGCCACATTAATAAAATTTTTGCAAGACCTAAGATTTCATATAATCTTGATAGCAGTCTTGCTGAAATAGTTTAAGCACGCAGAGGACTCTCCCTCTTGCAGAAAAGTTGAAATTCACAGAAATTGGATTGGATCTCTACATCTT